TGCAATACCTTGGGTTGTCTACCTTTTCAAATGGTATGCCATTATGGGGGTAATTCTCATTCCTGGGCTACCACACCGTCTCAAAGGTAACATTACTAATCTGGCAAATTTCTATTTGAAAATGGAACGTTCTATATTTGACCCTGTAACGTTCCAAAACACCATAAAACCTGTTAGTGGGGGGTACTGTTGTACTCGTGAGACATTGCTGATTACAAATATGGGCATTTTTTTGCAGTAATACCTAACAGTATTATGACATTAACAGCTAAAATGTCAGACGGAAATACAAATTTAAAAAAATATCTTATTTTCTCAATTTATTTTAAACGTTATTCATAATAAATTATGTTCCATATATGAATAGGTAATGATAAATTAAAGCCCTGATTCTCCTGAACAAAATGATATATAATAAGTGTGGGTGCACTTAATGTGACAGCGGTGAATTACGGTTGAACAGCCATATAGCGCAAATTCCAGTTTTTGTTTACGTTTTGTTTTGATCAGAACGTGCACTATTGACTCCGTCCTGAAGGGGTTAAACCCATGAAGTTTTACTATAGTTAAGAAAAGAAGAAGTATTGTATTAATGATGATAGAGAGACATCAAAGTTGCTTATTTTATCTAACAGTTTTAATAACTATACATTGGTAAGGTATCTATCTGAACTACAAAAAAAAAAAAAAAACAACTTGTAAAAACTGTATTTTAGTGGTTCCAAATTTGTGTTATGTGCGAGTAAATACATGCAGTAGGCAAAGAGCTAACCTAAACCTGAAAGTAACTACTACTAGCTAGTAGTGATGTCGCGAACCGTTTGCGAACTTCCTGCGAACGGCTCACCGCGGTTCACCACGAACCGTTCGCGACGAGCTCCGGTCAGGATGTGTCAGCTGACCGGAGCTCGCCGCGAACCGCGACGAGCCGTTCGCGGGAAGTTCGCGAACGGTTCGCGACATCTTTACTAGCTAGGTGGATGCAGCAGTAACCTTAAATCTAGTCTCACACTAGGATCAATGACACAGGCAGTCTCCAATTCAAAGTTGTTTAAAATGACACTGGCAGTAGCTAGCTAGCCAGATTGTAAGTTAAATTGAATCTCACACTAGGATCAATGATCAATGCTATCTCATAATTCCACACAGGCACAGGAAGGGTAAAGCACACAGTATAACTACAGCTCCAGCAATAGCTGTAGTCAAAGTGCTTGGAAGAATTTCTTTTGGTCAGTTGTCACTTGATCTGCGAATAAAATTCACCCAGAAGAAATTCTAGTAGCATATTTATTAAAGTGAGAATTCAAAGTGAATTCAAGGAGAGTTTCAAATTTCAGACCAAAGTAGCTAATCTCAATTTGAAATTCACATTGAATTAAGGTGATTAAACCTGTAGGAGATAAAAAGACTCTATCGAAGCATTTGCTCAGAAGCCACTTCTAAATGTGGGAGATGTAAGCTACAATAGGAAAGTATCCTGCATGGGGAAAAGTTCCTGAACCCTTACACACTGAGCAGAGACTTTAGGATATAAAATCCTCCCTTTTAGTAGATGTATTGTTCACTTTATTAACACCAAACACTGATTGATGCTGTATATTTATGTCAAAACGCAAGAACGCGATCTTCCTTCTCTGAGTTATTGGTCAATGACTTTGAAAACAAGGACACTTCTGCGACATAAAGGTGTTGGATTTACAGCATCTACACTCACACTCTTCAAAGCTGGGCCTCTCTACCTTTAAAATCCCTAATGGAAGAGAGATGCATTAAAACCATTAACAAAAAGTTCAATGAAGCTCATACATTTTTAATCGGTAATGAATCCAGAAATATTGAAAGAATATCCCAACATCAAAGTATATTTAAATATTGGCCACTAGAAAACACGTGCGGGTTCAATCACTTAAGTCCAGAAACGTACAAGCAATTGGATTTGTTAAAGTAAAGAGGAAATATATCTTGTTAACAGTTATAGATGTGAAAATTATGTGAACACGGATCAAGTTACTGAAAATACACTATATCCCCATCACAGGCATATGCAACAGGTGTGCCAGGAGTTTTCAGGGTCACCGTAATGTGGGGGCAAATTTCCCTCCTTTTCCATCCTTTCGGTCCATTTGTGTCAATTTGACATTTGTTGAAAATAGACCATGGCAATTTCATAACGTTACCTCAACAGAAAAAAAATCTTAGTGGATTAATTAAAAAGGTTACGTGATATTTTTATCACTGCTTCCACTAACATCAAAACTTCTGGAAAACTAGCTTAAGACCACATAGCCCACTCCCTGTCCTCCTACTTAACCGCCTGTAATCTGACTTTCATCCTCAACATTCAACCAAGGTTACTATTATAATAACCTTCTTTCCGTTAAAGGTAATAGCCACTACTCTATTATCACTTTACTTGACCTCTCAGCTGCCTTTGACACGGTTGAGCACCTCTTCCTTCTAAAGACTCTCTCAGCTCTTTTGGTCTCTGTAACATTGCTCTCTCTTGGATCCACTCTTACAGTTTTTTTCTGTGTCATTTGCTGGTGTCGCCTCTCCACTCCCACGATCAATCTCCATCTCTCCTTTCTTCGTTTTTTTTTTTTTTTTTTGAGAGTCAACTGATATTTATTTTGGCCACACGCTGCTTTTATGCACAATCCCCTACATGGGGTCTCCCATACAATAATACAGGGCTTTTCTGCCCAAGATCCTCTACAGAAAAATATAACATTTTCTAAAACATTCCAAAAATACATTTTCAAAAGGGGCCAATTTGATTGCATGGGAGGTCAGAAGGTTGATAGACTTAATTCCTCTTTGAAGCTGGGACACCAACCAAGCTGCTCTGTAAGGTGTGAGAAGTCACACATAAGTCGCCTGGAAGTCTGGTTTAAATATAAACTAACTCTCTAGCGTGCCATATGTCTAGATTCCCCCTTAGATTGGGGGTCCCTTGATATGTTAATGGATATTGGCCATATGTTCAAGACTTGATGAAGAGTAGAAACAAATGTGTTTAATCTGGCAAACTTTCCCACTTATATACAAAATCAGGAGGCTGGAAACACACCCAGAACACTACAAATTTCAGTGCTCTCCTGGCTTGTTGTGGAAAGAAGCAGGCGTTCGTAAGGTTTCACTGGTGTTTGCGAGGTCAAGTGTCCAACTTAGAGTTCCGGACACTCGACAACCAAGTCCCGCTGCCTGCGTTCGTGCAACACCACTTAACCTTTGAAGTTAATAAGCCAGGGGCTGGTCGGTGTTCAGTAGATTTGTCTACCGAACGCAGGGAAAGTGTTTCTGTTTGGGAAACTGTAAAACAACCAGGGAAATGTCTGGTGAACAGAAGGGAAAAGTATTAAGTTTGGGCAGAAAGTATATGGCCTATAGTCGGTGGGCAGGAGGCCAGCTTCCATACTCCTCCAGGAGTTTGTGGCAAACGTCCAGGGTAAGGAGCATTTGTCACACCTACCCACAGATTAACCATTAAGCCTCATTCCTATTATATTTAGAATGGGACAAGCACCATCTTCTAATCAAGCCCAAACATGATTTGCGAACAAGGGGACCACACAAAGTTGATTTAGTACGAACGAGGGGGGGTACGGACAGCTGAACAAGGGGAATAAAAGTGTAGTTAGGTCCTCTATTTCATTATAAACATACATATGTGTCATTATCTTTAGTATTATAACAAGATTTTACCTCCCTTTTAAAGACCAAAACGTTAATTTTTGGGGGGCAGTCCTGTTTTTTTTTTTTTTATTCCAAGGGTTTTTATTGGGCGTGCATGAATACTTTACACACATTATTTAAGTGTTTCTTTGGTTATTACAGAATTTTCGTAACATACATAAAAAATATTAGTCCAGTGTTAATCGTTAGATAGAGGAACATGTCGTTATAGAGTCGCTATGTTCTTTTGTAGTAGCGTGTCATTGAAGAGGACTCCACATTCCCAAGAGTGTTATGCATATAATATTTGAAACCTTGATTACTAGGGGGTTTTGTAAGTAGAGCGCCATTTGTTTAAAGGTCTCACGTGATCATCAGTGTCTCAGCTCTTTAAATGCTCAGTGGGGTAGTGAGGCTTTTGGGCTGTGCCTACTTTTAGTATGCTCATACCTCCTTTCTCATCTGGGGGTTAGTTTCCCATTCTCTGGCTTGGTCTCTCTTGTTGTTATCTCTCCTAATGTCTAGTGTGCTAGTGTCTCGTGCATCCTACACTCCCTTTTTCCAGGTTTCTTCTGCAGTCATGTATGTTGTCTATCAGAAAGTGTTTTGTTGCCTATCTAGCTATATGCTCCAGTCAAGCGTCTCCAGTTGTGGGTTTGCTTTGGCTCCTTTGTCCCCTGTTCCGTTATTCTTTCGTTTCCTTGCTAGGGGTTGCTCCCTGCTCCAGGGATGCGTGTGCCGTTAGTGGGTTGGCAGGGCGACTGATGTGGCTATGTGGAGATGTCTTGGGTGTTATTGTTGTAGCTCTCTTTGTGTTAGAGAGAGCCGTCCTTTGTTTGGGTTTGTGGTGGGATAGTGGGGCACTATAGTGGGCATCAGGGTTGTTCAGGGTCAAGCTGCATCTCTTACCGTACGTGTGGGGTGTGTGAATCTCTGAGCTTTGGCTGCGAGCATGCGCGGGGTGGTGTGTGTCAGCTTGTTGTTGCGAGGGGTTCCTATGGTGGGGACAGAGCTGGAGCTGGTCGCGCTAAGGTATGTGGATGTTATTGGGTACGGACTAGGGGTCCAGCGACCAAGGCCATAGGGAGGGGGGGAGGAGGCGCCCGAGGGTCTCCATCCCCACACCCCACCCTCGACCCCATCCCCTGGCCCGGTCCCGTGCAGGCCCATGGGGACTTCTCTTCGTTTCCCCTGTCGGTGATCAATGAGGTCCTTGCGTCCAGCTCCGTTCGTGTCTCTGAGTTTCTCCCTTGGTTCTCAGGGTTGGTTATCCTTTGTTCCTCATCTTCTCGACCCATGCTTTCTATTCTTCAAGAATGAGTACTTTATGGCTGTCTGTTCGTTAGCCATTGGAGCCAGTGGAGCCATATCTTCTGGTATCTCTGGGTTTGTCCTCTGGCTATTAGAATTAATTCTTCTATGGTTCTCATGTCTTCTATCCTCATTATCCAGTCCGTCATGGATGGGGTTGCGGTCTTTTTCCAAAATGCTGGGATCAGGCTGCGTGCTGCATTGATTAGGTACGGTGTGATTGTTTTTTTGTATGTAGCTAATGGTAGGGGTGTCAGGTGTAGCAGGTAATTTTCCGGTGTGAGATCAACCGTGTTGTACATTAGCATGGCGACTACTTGATGAATCTCCCTCCAGAAAGGCTGTATCCGGGGGCATGTCGACCAGATTTGGTATAGTGTGCCCAGTTCGGTTCCGCACCTCCAGCATTCCGGTGCGCTCATTGAGTGCATGGTCGCAAGTTTCTCAGGGGTTTTATACCAGTGTGATATCATTTTGTACCCCCATTCCTGGTATTTAGTGCTTATGGAGGTTTTGTGTGTCATTGTGAACGTTGTGGTCCATTGGTCCTGGGTTAGTGGGTGTCCAAGATCTCTCTCCCAGTATCTGACAAAGTATGGCAGTTGGGCATCTTCCTTCGGTGCGTTCAGTAGTTGGTATAGTAGTGATATGGCGTGTGGCGTGGGTGCAGGTTGGGTGCAAAGGTTCTCGAACAGGGTTGGTGGTCTTGCAGCAGTTTGGAGATCAGGTATTTTTTTTAGTGCGCTTACTAGTTGGTAGTACCTGAATTTAGTCAGTGGGTTTGGGGGTCGGGTGTGGGTAGGTCCGTTAGTGGGGGGATGTTCCCAGTTGCCAGGAGATGTTGAAACCTGCATGGGGTCAGTAGGCCCATGCTTGTCATGGTTTGGTTGCTGTTGATCATGTGAAATCTAGGGTTGTCTGTGATATGGTACAAGGGGGATAGCGGAGGGGCGAGGTCCTTGTTGTTTGCTATTTTCTTCCAGACCGTTAGGGTGGCTGATATTGTGGGATGTCTCCTTTTGAGTCTCTTTATCTGTTGTGGGGGCATCAATGTTAGTGTGTGGAGTGGAAGTTGAGTGAAGCTTGCTTCTATGGAGATCCAGAGCTTATCTTCTGTTCCTAAGGTCCATTCGGTGATTCATTGGAGGTGGATGGTTTGGTGATATTTATTAAGATCAGGGAGTCCCAGGCCCCCTTGCGTTTTGGGTTTTGTGAGGATGTCTTATTTTATTCTGTCCGTTTGATTCCGCCAGACATATCTCGTGAAGGCTGTGCGTATTTGGGCTAGGAAGGTAGGCCGATATTTTGCTTTCTCTCCACTGTCCTCGTATGCCTCTAATATCCGGTCTGCTGTGTACCGCGTTCAGGAATGGTTCCAGGCTGAGTACAAAAAGTAGGGGCGAGTGGGGGCATCCCTGTCGGGTGCCGTTGTGTATCTGGAATGGTTTTGATAGTGTGCTGTTGACATAGACACATGCCGTCGGTTTGTTAGGGCCGAACCCTACGTGTTGTTGCGTCGCGAAGAGAAAGGTCCAATCTACCCTGTCGAACGCTTTTTCTGCGTCGGTGGAAATTAGAAGTGCTGGTGTTGTCCCTGTCCTGGCCACATACATCAAGTTGATTACTTTGGTGGTGTTGTCTCTTGCCTCTCTATTTTTGACAAATCCTACCTGGTCCGGATGTATCAGCTTCGGCAGGATGGGTTGGATGCGGAATGCCAGGATTTTGGCAAATAGTTTCAGGTCAGCATTCAACAGGGAGATCGGTTGGTAACTTGGACATGCTGTGGGGTCTTTGCCTTCCTTGGGTATCACTACTATGTGTGCCTTTAGGGTGTTCTGGTCAAGGCTCCCCCCTTCTTTGATGGCATTTAGCATACTAAGTAAGTGTGGAGCCAATGTTTTATAGTAAGTTCTGTAGTATTTGATGGTGTAGCCATCGGGGTCCGGGCTCTTCCCATTCTTGGCTGTTTTCATTGCCAGGGCTAGTTCCTCTAGTGTTATTGGCTCTTCCAGTGTTTGAGCTGTTTCTGCGTCGATCTTGGTCGTGAGGTGTTTGGCGAGATATGCTTTTTGTCTGTTGGGTTTGGGTGCAGCTGGGTCTCCCGTCTCTTCTCCCTAGCTAGGGAGGTGGTACAGGGATTTGTAGTACAGTCGGAAGCCTAACGCTATCTCCTTTGGAGTGTGGCGGGTAGCTCCGTTGAGTTTGATCTCTGAAATAAAGCATTTTTGTCTGGCTTTCCTTAGGGCCTTCGCCAGTAGTTTGCCACTCTTGTTGCCGAATTCGTAGAAGGTCTTCTGGGCTTGTCTGTATTGGAAGGTGATCCAGTGGGAGAGGTGGGAGTTCAGTGCTGCTCTCGCCGCGATTAGTTGCGCGTAGGTGTTGTCATTGAGCATGGCTTTGTGCTGTTTTTCCAAATCCGCCACTTTCCGCAAAAGGTTTGCTGTTTCTTGCGTGCGTTGTTTTTTGCGTTGTGCGCCATGTCGAATCAGAATGCCGCGTTTCACACAATTGTGTGCTTCCCACACCTTGTCCGGAGTGGATTCTGGTGTGCTGTTTGTTCGAAAGAAGTGGTCTATGTGGGATTGTTCCTCAGTCTGGATTAGGGGGTCTTCTATCAGCAACTCGTTTAGTCTCCAGGTCCATTGTTTCTGGTATGGGGTTGGAGAGGTTATTGTGATAATGACCGGAGCATGGTCCGACCAAGACATGGGGGCTATTGTCGTGGAGAGGAGGTCATCTAGGTGGCGGTGGCAGAGGAAGAAGTAGTCTATGCATGAGTACGAATTGTGAGGTGGGGAATAGTACGTGTAATCTTTCTCTGTGTGGTGCAGGGTGCGCCAGCAGTCTGACATTTGGAATTCATGCAGGGTGGTTCGCATGCCTCTGAGTACGTGGTCTGGAAGGGTTGAGTGGCCTGCGTATGTGTCTAGTCTCGGATCCAGCGGAGTGTTAAAGTCTCCCCCGAGAATTAGTATTCCGTCGCTGAAGAGGTCTAGGGTTGTCAGGGTTTTCTTAAGAAATGTTTTGTCCCCTGTTAGGGAGGTATAAATTGGCGAAGGTAAAGCGTGTGGCATGGATTGTGCCCTTCAGGAAGAGGTATCTACCATTGGGGTCTGAAAGTTCTTCTTCCAGTTGGAACGGAACTTCGACTGAAAAAAGTATCGCCATCCCTTTGGTTCTTAAGTCCGGGTTGGTGGCGTGGAAACTCAGCGGGAAGTGTTTGTTCGAGAACTTGGGCCACTTGTCAGTTTTGAAGTGGATTTCCTGGAAGAACGCTATGGATACATGTAGGGCTTTCAGTTCTCTCAATGCCCTTGCTCGCTTCTGTGGGGAGTTGAGTCCCTTGGCATTGATCGTGAGGAGTTTGAGGGCCGGTTGGGGTCGTCTCCGGTGTCCAACCGTGGTGCCGGGCTGGGGGGGGGTGCATCCTGGTGCGGGCAGCTGCGCAGGGAGGGCTCAGAAAAGAAAGAGAAAAAAAAGGAGGGCGGAAAGCGGGGAAGGCGGTTACGGGGGCCAAGTGGTCGCCAGCGCATGCCCACCGGGTCGCTTTAGTCGTTCACCGCTGGGGGCACGCAGGGGAGCTATATATGCTCTGGTTGATATTCTGCGGTCGTGAAGTGTTTGTGTAGGTTGGTGTCGAGAGCGTGTCGTCTCTCCTTGCCTATTGTTGGTACGGGTCTGTTTGTGGTTGTGTTTTGTTTCTCTTTGTTTGCTACCTCCCTCGAAATTAAGGGTGGAGGCTGTGTGGACAGCAGTAAGGGGCAGTCTGCCTCTGGGGTGTTGGCTCACATGTAAAGAGAGTTCTCAGTGAGCCTGTCCAGTGGTTTGGCAATAAACCTGTGGGGAGGTGGGTGGCGGTTCTTTGCTCTCCAGCAAAGTTTGTTGGGTGGTTTGTTTGTTCAGATGTCAGGGTCGTCCGAAGCCCTGCAGCTAGAGCATTTATGTTATGTGGTAAGACCATGGGTTATATTGTGGTGCAGTAGCGTCAACATGCAAAGTTCACATTCAACAAGTTTAAAACATTTGTATAACAAGTTTAAAACATTTGTATAGCTGGTTAATAGAGTAGAATATCTACCTTATAACTTTTGGAGACATTTCATGGAGGCTGCCAGCATCAATCTCTCTGCAAAGACACTCATTATGTTTCCCCATTCCATGGTGTGAGTCATTGGGGGTTATGTCCTGTCCGTTTGTGGGGGTTGGTCCTTCTGTGGAGGTAGTGTGGTTGTGTTCGTCATTGGCATGGGGGGGCAGTTTCGTGTGGGATTGGTATCGTCTTATGTGTGCGGTCTGTCTTAGTTCGTCACCGGGTCTGATCGCTTTCCATCCTTGGTTCTGCGTCCGTGGTGTGTGGGTGGGGGCGTGGAGTTATCCTGTCGTTTGTGTGTGGGTTTGAATGCGTGTCTGGTAGTGGGTTCTGTTAGCGGGGAGGTGGGTTTCCTTTCAGTTTTGGGGAGTCTTAGCTTCTTGTCCGTGTCTTGTCCGGCAGTGTTGTCGTCCGTGGAGTCCCCTCGTCCCTCAAAAAAAGATTTATTTTTACAAACAGTTGACAAAAAAAAAGTTTAAAAACTGTAAATTGGTAACCTAGTTTCACACTATTATCAATGACATAATGGCAATCTCCTATCATCTACACAATATTGTTTTAAGCACCACGGACTGCTAGATAGGTATTTAGATACAGCAGCACCTTAAACCTAGTCTCACACTAGCATCAATGACACAATGGCTATCATCTATGCCCCACTCAAAGTTATTTTAAGCTAGCTAGATACAGCAGTAAGCTAAACCTAGTCTCACACTAGCATCAATGACCCAGGCTGTCTCACACTCCCACACTGACACAGCAAGGGTAGAACACACTGTGTCACTGCTGGTCTTTCTCTCTTAGTAGCTTCAGTGAACGTATGTGGAAGAAATTTGTTTGGAAGTATAGATTGTTTTGCTGCTCTTCTGTTTGTGTCCTCTATTGTTCAGTAGATCTCTGATTAAAGTCCATATATACTGGCTGTCCACCAACCATCAATTATCTTTTGTTTTCCACTTCCACTTTTGATTGGACATATATCTCACATGATTGTGCAGATCTCTTGTCAATCATGGCAATCTAAGCTGCCTATGTGCCCCCACCAAAAACAGCCTCTTTCCATCCAATTTCTCTTTTTTTCTGGTGCCAGTAATGAAAAGTTCTAAAAAAGCACTACAATCAAACCCTTTCCTTTTTTATTTTACATTTCCCCAGAGGCTCCACATTTACAATGTTTAACTGGGAATGCTTAGTTCCATCTCCATCTCTTTTCAACCCCTAGTCCTTTTTAAATCAACTCTTTCGCAATCTCCTCCCACTGGGTTCCTTTTTTTTACCACAAGCAGTGTCGTAACTACCATGGCCCGTGGTTGTGCTGTGCTGCTCCCCTCCTGCCACTGTGTGTAGCGTGACCGAGCGGATCGCGATCTGATAGGAAGTGCTCACTGAGAGAGCTCTTTCTGTCAGACCGAGTACCAGGGAGGTGAGCAGGTACAGGAGTGGGAAGGGGAGGGGTATGATACACATGGAAAGGCTGGGAATGAGGGTATGAGACACATAGAAGAGCTGGTGGAAGTGAGTCAGACACATAAAGGGGCTAGGGGGGAATGAGAGACTTGGAATGACTGGGGGCAGTGATACATATGGGGGCCCCTGGCCAATTTTCGCACAGTGATTTCTAGTGATGCCTCTAAACCACCAGTCTTTTCTTGTCACTCATTTAAAACAATGTTTGCACCCTCCCTCATACTCCTTATTAACCTGTCTTTTGCCACTTAGTCCCTCAGTATCTCCCTCATCCTAATCAATCTTTGGTACAATTCTCCTAGAGTCTCTATTTCTATCTTCTCTTCTTTCTCTTTTTTTTTTTTTTTAATTCACCCCCTATTTTTGAGCTGAATATTTTTCAGTGTTCTCCTTTTTCTCCTATTATGTTTATTCTCCTTTTAACTATTTAGTTACTGCCGTAATATACTGTATTCGGTCTGATTTGCACCTTGAGCCTAATGTCTGCAGGTGGGAGAAATTATCTTGCTCTTTTCTAAATGTTTTTTTTTTTCCTTCAAATCAAACGACAAAGGACAAGGATCCACAAATTGCATATAGATGATTATTTCTAATATGTACAAGATGTATCAATGTAGACATCCACCTTCTCTAATCCTCTGGCCATTATGAAATAAAAAGTAATAGTGTTTAGGTGAGCATTGTTGGATCTGTGACAAAAGTCATTACTGAGAGTTGTTCCACTGTAATGATTCCAGACTGTGTCTGAAAACAGTGCATAATGATAAGAGCAACCTGCATGCAAATAAGTAGATGAGGAATCTCCGAGATTTTATCTTCAGCTGCAGTATCTCAGTTCCATGTTCTCCTAGCAATATCAACTTAATAAACCATTGTTCCAGGATTATTAAAATGAGTTAGCTGAATAATAATGATAAAAACATACTTCACTCCCCAAATACCAAATGTAATCAATTATAATCTTAGTAGATATACCCAACATGCATGCATTTAATAATGCATTTTAGGGGTATATGGGGGTATATCTAAAAACAGCTTGCAAAAGCTGCCAATCTCTTCTCAGGAAACTTTGCAAACCCTCCAGTTTTTCGGAGCCTAGACATTCTGTGGCTGTCCAATTATAGTCTTCCTAATGCAGCTCATTGAGAAGTCTTTGCAAAACAGGTGCTCTGAGCCTCTTAAAGTTAGCTCTGCTGAGCTAAACAAACCAGGAAGTAAAAGGACTGGTAGATTGACAGACAGCCAGGGTGTAACAAATTTAACTTATCAATGTGCCAATTTCTATTGAAATCTGCACTTTTTGTAAAATGAAACAAGAGGACACACTCATCAAACATAAAGCACTTCAACAAACTGAGTTTTTAGTGGTCTGGAGTGTCCCTCTAATACCTCAACATGAATCTGAATACAAGCAAGAGTCAATTGCCTCTTCCTGGTTACATAGTACTATGACAGTACTGACCAACTCAAGCCTTTAGCATAATTAGGTGGTAAGGTAGGAAATGATATAACTTAGATTATTGATTATCTCAATTTGTATTGTTTGCCTTGTAAATCTGGTATCTCTAAGGCCATCAAAGAGTCCAACATTCCTGACTCAGAGGTCCAACGTTTCTATTTGGATTGAAATGGCTTTCCTTTGTACTTCCATTTTGCCTTTGTTGCATTATTGATTGCGTGCTTTGTCATTAATCATAGGCAATTTGTGAAAAGCTTTAAACTGTATGTGTCATCTAAATAGTAAAATGTATAAGGAAAAGTAAAAGGAACCTATTATTGATAGCATGAAGCAGATAAGAGTGCAAGGGGTGCCTGAATGTGTTTCCAAATGTTCCATAATGAATAACGATGATCAGTAGTATACAATTATCTTTTGTCGTTTATATGGTTTTACTCAAATGGAATTCAAATTTATAATGTGCAGTGATTATAGAGATTTTTCTGCTTTGCTTTAAAAGAGCAATTTAAAAGAAAATATTTATGTAAATATCTAACATATATGTGCTATGTTTTGGCAACTGAGGCTTGTTTCAACTACCCACTCCCAATGACTTTAAACTAAGCATCAATTGTCATCCCATGTACATTTTATATATCAAAATTGTAGGTGTAACACTTGTCTGTAGATGCAAACATTTCAATTGGTAAAAATCAGTTAGTGTTTAACAAATCTTCCAATTGTAAAGAATACAACTAAATACACTGATTAGCCACAACATTAAACACACTGACAGGTGAAGTAAATGACATTGATTTTATTGTTACAATAGTACCTGTCAAGTGGTGGAATATATTAGACAGCAAGTGAATATTCAGTTCTTCAATTTCATGTGTTGAAAGGAGGAAAAATGGGAAAGTAAAAAGATCAGAATGACTTAAACAAGGTCCAAATAGTGATGGCTAGATGATGGTGTCAGAGCATCTCCAAAATGGTAAGTCCTGGGTGTGGTGTTCCTTGTACGCATTGGTTAGTACTTACCAAATGTGGTGCAAGGAAGGACAACGGGTGAACCGGTGTCTGGGTCATGGGCACCCAAGATTCATTAATGCACATGGGGAGCGAAGGCTTACCCGTTTGGTCCAATCACATAGAAGAGTTACTATAGCTCAAATTGCTTTTAGAACAATGTAATGCTGGCCAAGATAAAAAAAAAAAAAAAGGTGTCAGAACACAAAGTGCATCACAGTTTGCTCTGTATAGTTCTGCGTAGCTGTATACCGGTCAGAGTTCCCGTGATGACACTTGTTTACCACTGATAGTGCCTTCAATGGGGATGTAAGGATCAGAACTGGATCATGGTACAGTTGAAGAAGGCTACCTGGTGTGATGAATCACGTTTTCTTTTAGATCAGGTGGATGGCTCACAACTTTTAGGACATAAAGGATCTGCTGCTAATGTCTGGGTGCCAGATACCACAGGATATGTTCAGAGGTCTTGTGGAGTCCTTGCATCGATGCATTAGAGCTGTTTTAACAGCAAAAGATAGATTTAAACTTTATTAGGCAGGTGGTTTTAATGTTGTGGCTGATCAGTGCATACCACACAATTCACATTTATAATACTATTAAGATTAGAGTATACAAGGTTTCAATCAATTTTCAAAGTTTCCCTATGACAAGAATAAAATAACATGACATTCCACCTAGTTTTCACTCAATTAGGTGGCGAAAATATCTATAAATGCCACCATTTACTGTCTACAGGTCTTAGATGTAAACATCTAACTTGGCTGTGTTAGAATTAAAGAAATGTCTATTGTTGTGAAATGTAGTGAGACCAGTGTCCAGAATATTTGTGTCCAGGACTAAGATATGGGCAGCAGGCTAGGGGGAATGAAAATGGTTTGCCATGAGCTGCACTATGCAATCCCATACTATTGCCAATACTATAGTACTGGATTGC